GGGGGGGTTGTTTTCATCTCACTAGGCCTGTTTGTTAGCAGGCTAAAGACATCTGCACAAAACTAGCCATTGTGTGGGAAATGCATTAAGACATATCGCTTCTAAATGGATTCACATGACAAAACCAACTGGAGGGTGGTGCAAAGAATTAAAGAAGGTTGCTCAGGACAGGAAGTAAAATCTTTGTTCACATGATTTCTGATTCAGGCAGCCCACCAACAACCTGACGGGGTTCTTATTTCACAGTTTGTAGGTTGGTGGTCACTCCAGATACCCAAAATATATGTGCACAAGCACTGAAAAATGGCCTTTTTCATAATATGCTGTCCTCTTGAACAATGGCTGCAATCTGAACAGATCTCCTGTATCTTGCCACATTTCAGGCACGCATCTCCTAATTAGTATAGAATTGAAACACGTTGCACTGAGCTCTACTGAATCTACTTCATAATTCATTTGGATGGAAGGCAATCTGTAAAAAGGTCAGATCAAGCAGCAGCCAATTAGCAGATGAAAAGACAAACATGACTGGATTAACTCTCCGAACTAGTGAGGAATCTCTGCGAGACACCAAAATCACTGCGCAGTCTGTTTTAGTATTATTAATTTCAGTGGACTAATCTGTGGCAGTTGAACCTCTCAGTGGCTCCAAAATCTACCAAGAGCGGCTCAGACACGTCCCGATCTAAAAAAATAGGCTGGGGCAGCTCAACCAGGGCTAAAATTAGAGCAAAAACATGCAGCAACAGTACTGGTCTGACACTACAACAGGAGACGAGCCTGATATAAGGTTACAGTGATTATGAGTTGAAAGTACACATTGTTTTTAAGAATCCCACCATTACTTTTTAAATGCTGACCATGGCTTTTGCTGCCATGACCTAATCGACATTTCAGACACTTTCTTTTTAACATTTGGCAGATCTCAGTACCTTCCTTTGGAAATAACAGAACATTGGAAACGTTTCAAAGCCTTTCTCCCCGTGGCGGCTCATCCTGGGTGAGCCAGCCAGGAGTCACGGTGGCCACAGAGCATCCTGCCACTCATGTCGCCTTGGTTATGTAAGCTAGGAGATCACACTACACCACAGAGGGCGAAGGAGAGATTTGGAGAGAAAGGGAAGGGAAGGGAGAGGGGAGGGGGGGGATTGCATGGGAAGTGACTTTGAATTATAAACAAGGTTACGGCTGTTTCAGCCTTTTATCTCCCTCTCTCTCTCTCTCTCTCTCCACCTCCCCTTCTCACTCTCATGTTCTTCCCTCCCACCTCCTTTTCACTCTTTACACCCTCTCCATCTCCATCTCCCCTGAGGACTCCAGTGTACTCCAGACACTTGTCTAATTCTCTGTCAAAGACGATGCTAGGTGCAAATGACAGTAAGCCCACTGCGACTGGATGTCTGTCTGTGTGTGCGTGTGTGCGTGTGTGTGTGTGTGTGTGTGTGTGTGTCAGACAGCAAGCTAGCTAATCTCCAGACAGATCAAGCTGAAGTCCATCTGAACAAGGTGAAGAGGACTTGGCGTACATTTAGCTGCCAAGGTGTCCTCTTAAATGCCAGAACAACGTCAGGACAAACAACATGACTCCCTGTTCCCGATCACAAACTATATTAAGTGCACCGGCACTTTGTATTCTAAATATTACTTCTTATTCCTATTAACAAGGATGCAATCCTGAATCCTGTTCATATCCTGAAAGAAGAGAATATACTTTGGTTTATTCTTCCTCTACTACATGGTTTCAGCTTCTCCACTGTGACGATTTGCTTCTTTTGTCCTTTTTAAATAATAATACAAATCGGAATATATTTGGGTTTTAGACTGTCGGTCGGATAAAACACCACATTTGAAGACATCATCTTGAACTTTATGAAAATGTGACGGACATTTGTCACTATTTTCTGACATTTTACACAGCTAATAGGGGCATATGAATAGCTAATGAAATTGATTGTTAGATGCAGCCCTAGTTTTGATAGTGATGTTTTATGTAGACTCCGTATAACAGACGGCCAACTAGGAGCCTGCTAGGTGAGGATGAGATGCTCTGCTCTGCTTTGTTCTTAATGTGAAAATGTAAAACTGAATATTCACTGTAAATCTGTGTGTGCATGTGAACTCTTTACTCACCTATCTGCAGCAGTACGGGCGTCACCAGCGCCGTCTCCATGGCGTAGCAGAACTCCCGGCCGAACATCACGGCCCCATGCATCACCCATCTCTTCAAGGGTATGCCTTCGAGCGATCCCTCGCTCGCCGCCTCCTCCGCTCCTCGACCTCCGCCTCCCACTCCATCCGTCTCACCTCCTGCTCCTCCTTTGTCCTTGTCCGAGCCCGATGCCGTGGTGTTTTTGGCGTTAGCCCCGCCCACCAGAGATCCGACCTGCATGGCGTCGGCCTCTGTGTTCTGGGGAGGCATGTTGGAGGGCATGCACGCAGTGAGAAGACAAGTGCACCCCCTCTGACACGCTGACAAAACAATAGAATACTGCTTCCCACCTTCCTCAAACTACTCGTATCAAGTCACTCGGAGTTACTCTAAAACTGGTAGCGACCTAATTACAATCTTTACAAGCTACAAATTGCAGCCTGTGGTAGTAACTTGCTGGTTATATATTACTGCTTTAAAAGAATAATACCCAGATAGAGGTGTTCAAGTGTGCTAATACCACTATCAAAAAAACTAAAAACCCTGTAACAGATAGTGTCCCAGCATTAAAGGTAACAAAAGTAATCTTGGGTCCTGCTAAAACTCAACAAGGCTATGGACACCAAATAAATGAAAAAAAAAAAAAACGGATCTATAGATCTGGCATGTTAATGTAAAATATAACGAAACAATCAGCAATCAGTTGTCCTCTGAACAGGTTGTCCTAAAAACAACTGCACCTAATTTAAGCAAGTGTTAATCCTCCTCTCTCTCGCCTTTTTGTTTGGTCCCAGAGTCGAATTTTTTTTTTTTGCGAAATCAGCTTTCCAAAGGCTTGTAGAAATCCAGAAGAAATAATGGAAGTTGTTGAATTTTCACAGGAAGAGTGTGCGGTACATTCCAAGAGTGGGTTTGTGTGTGTTGTGTGTGTGTGTGTGTGTCTGTGTATGTGTGTATGTGTGTGTGTGTTTATGGCTTTTTTGTCATTGAGGTTTCTCCCTCTTTTTCCTACTGTCTATTACAAGCTGTAAAAATCCATATAGAAGACCATTCAGTAAGTTCCAGAGTCATTTTGTATATAGAGGGCTGGATTGAGGGCTGGATGACGGAGTGGGTGGGGGCTAGGAAGAGGCCACTGGGGGAGGGGAGAGAGGGAGGAAGGCAGGTAGCAAAGGTGGGCGGAGCTCTTCTGAAAATCCCCATCGATTGGCTGATCAATCTGGAGGAAAACACCAACAGGAAGACAACCCAGCAGGTGGAGAAGCACAGCACCACAGCGCAGACGTCCCATTGGTCAGGAGGAGAAATGACCGGCGTGGAAAAAGAAAAAAAAGGGAGAAAATCACATCAGTATTTGTGACAGCAATTTCACTTTCACTTTCACATTCACTGACCAGAGGACGGGCACTTTGCTGCATATATATACAAAGAATAGTATTTTTCTCAGGTGTATCAACATGGAGGTACTCGGTGAAGGCAGAGCGTCATTTGACACAAGCAGAGAGAAGAAGAGGTGAAGATACAGCAGCCAGCACGTGCCGATCCTTCGGGTTGAGTTGATGCACATCAATGCTGGAAAAAGGACAATCGGGCTTGAATATTTCACACACAAACACACACACCTTTATAGTAAGACATATACATCACGAATACATACTAATTAAAAATCTAAAGTACTTTAAATGAGAGGACGGCCACATAACCTCCCCCAACTGTGAGGGAGAGAACACGATGTACCAAAGCACCCAAACTGGCAAAAGCCTCTATGACAAGATGTTTCACAAAGTGCTAACAACAACGACAACAAGTGTCTCTTAAAAAGGGAAAAAACTTCTTCACACTTTGTGCTGTAAAAGCATGGAACGAGCTTCCAGAGGTTAACTGTTTTTCAAATAGATTGGATAAATGATGGTCAATATTGTTATTCTAAATAAGCATAATGTTGTATTATTATTACGTTGTTGTTTGTTTGTTGTAGTTGGAGTCTGGTGTGGAGGATTCAGTCTGTAGCAGAAGTTTCTTAATTAGAAAAGCCAAACTGGAAGCCTCAAACCTCTCTTGAGAAATGTTTTGGTGACAACACTGAGGCTAAACCCATGTGGTGATACAATCCATTCCCCCAACTGTGTTATCAAACACAGTTGAGAACAACTGTGACAGATATAATGACATAAAAATCGTGCAGCACCATTCAGTTGTTCTGAGCAGGATGGAGGCTAAATAATTTAAATAAAGTAAGTAACTAGATGTAGAAGATGTCTGTAAAGTCCAAGGGCAAATTAAGAGTGTGTCGTTTCTCGCAGATCAACACGCACACACGCTTTCTGAATCTGCAAACACACGTAACCCAGGTCTATTTTAGTCAGTGTTTATTGTGGTGCCAAGATTACCTGCGACCCCGGCATGAAACCAGGGCAAGCTCAGCCTTTCCCACTTCATCGACCCTCTCCATCTTTCTTCTTCTCCCATCATCTCCCTTACATGTTACAGGTAACATAAGTAAGCAGACGTGTCTCTCGCCTGCAGCAGGCCTGGTCTTGTACGGCACATAGTGTCGAAGCAGTGACTTGAATTGTAAAATGGTTTGCATGTTTCCTGTGCTCCTGTGCTAGACGTGACATCACCTATTTCTGGAGAGGCAGGTTGTAGGACAAAATGTATTTAGCTGCAGCAAATGGGGTTTTCTGCTTGCCGCCATCTTGTCAATTATCTAAAGCCAGGAAATATTTATTTGGGCAACGGGGTGGAGCTGGAGAGGGACAAGTAAGTGGTTACAGCTGAGTGATTCATCTGTCAATCAAGGCGAAATGGTGCAAAATAAGCCCTTATTTAAACGGAGTACTCCGCTGAGAATAATATCAGAGAAGACTAAGAAAACCAGATGTGTAAACCAGAGAATAGATGGATTTTTTTTTACCTTAAATCAATCTCATATATCATTATATCATTGTAAAGGAATATCTGTGGATTTGGATTTCTTCTTCTTTGGTTTCCGTAAAGAAGATAATCGTTGGGTGCAGCCCTAGATTTGTGTTTCTCCATCATTGTGAATCAATTAGTGAGTCCCTGTGTGTTCGGTTGTCAAGTCCTTATCACCTGACTTATTCCATCAGCTTGTAACTGGACATTGATGTCGTTGTCACACAGCAGGAAGGTACGCGACTCTCTACATAGCACTGAACCATATAGGGCTGGATATAGATTACAAGGCTGAGGACCTCAGGATCAAGTTCACATACATACTGCTGTTCATGTTTGTGTGCAGTGTGAATGGACAGTGAGGGGAAATAAAGGGAGGGGTTATTTGATACTGCAAAAAAAGAGACCCACTGACCCGATCTGGTGCTTCATTTGGGTCAGTATGAGAGCATAACGGGAGTATTTGTGAGCTCGATCATCGGTGAAAACCAAAGAACCTCCGAACAGACAGGAAATAATCTTATTTGTTTGGGAAGGTGCTCCTCGCTATCAGGTTTGGGCCTTAAGGTACACAATGTTGAGAACCCCCTGGCCTTGTGGGTATCCACAAGGTTAGCACAGGAGCACAAGCAAAGCATTTTACAATTCAAGTCACTGCTTATTTGCACATCGACACTATGTGCCATACAAGACCATGCAGGCCTGCAGCAGGAATGCGACATGTCTGTTTACTTATGTTACCTGTAACATGCAAGGGAAACAGAGAGAGGGCTGAAGACGAAGAAGAAGGAGAAGAAAGATGTCGAGGGTAGATGAAGTGAGAAAGGTCGAGTATGCCGGTGTCGCAGATAATCTGTTCTGAGGCATGAGAATAAACACTCACTTAAATACACCTGGGTTATGTGTGTTGAGTACGTGTGTGTGTTCCTCGAGACACAGGCATCTCCTTTCCCTCCCTCCTGCTCGTTTTCCTCTCGTCTTTTGTATGTGTTGTTTTCTGTCCATCTGTGGATTCAAAAAAAAAAAATCTAGTTTTTGCAAGTGTTCGACTTTATTTGACTTTTCCCCCTGTTCTTTCTTAGCCCATCTCCATCCTGCATCTGCTGTCTTTGTTTTTCTTTAACACCATCCTCTCCATCTCCCCTCACATCTCCTCTTTCCTTCTCAGCGTTCACGTGAAACTGTACGATGTTTTTTTTTTGGCTCCTAGAAAAGCTGAGGTGAAATCCTATATAAGCTGAGCTCATGTTACGGACTCACACACAGAAACTATAGTACAACTGAGTGGTGCTACATGTGTATAGACCTATTATCAGATAGCGTTCACTGCTTTGTGTCTCTGTGGAAATCTCTCTCTCTCTCTCTCTCTCTCTCTCCATTATGGTGCATTGCTGCTGCAGTGCAGAGAGTACAGGGAGGGGGGGG